ACCATGCAACTCCCTTTCATCAAACAGTCAAGGCAATGTCAGCTATGATTTAGGGGCTCTGATCCTTGTCTGTTTTTATGACTTGACTGGTGCAGTGTCAAAACTGCTTATGCTGGCTTACAATCATCTATGTTTTTCAGACTGCAATAATTTTACTTTTTAATTTTCACAGGGGGTCATCACAGATATTTAGGGGTACACAGGGGGTAGGAAAAAACATTTGTGATGAAGAGGTACCTTTTATCAAATCCCACCAGCCGTCCCCCTCCCCACCCCATAAAAAATGAACAGTCCCTAATGAGCAATGCTTCTTTCAAAACAACAAAAATAAATTGCAGTAACTGGAATAAAGAAAGAAAGAAATCAAGGAAGCAAGCCACCAGGCTAGCAAGCAAGCAAGCAAGCAAGCAAGCAAGCAAGCAAGAAAGAATGAAAGAACGAAAAATAATAAGTAATGGAAAATTGATAATAATATTGTGGAAGTAGGGTTTGGTTCGCTTCAACAACCACTAAGTTAAGGGCAACCAATTTAAGTGGCAAAAAATAAAATTACAAATCCAAGATTAATGTGCTGCATGTATCTATTTTGTAGAAAAGTGTGATAAAGATGATTTTGGTCTTGTTCAACTTGCTTGAATGTGTTTATAGTAAAAGCCTACTAATGAGTTTGCCTCAGACATTGTCATTGACAATATCAATGTTAAAACTGATGAGAGTTAGAGATTTCTCTTTACCTAGTGTTTAGGTGTTGTATGTAGCTTGTATTTGCTCGGTGTGTCCATTCCTGGGTTCTATGTACATGTGAGGGGCCCCTCATGTGAGGCCATGTAAAGGTAAATTGGGCTCAATGGAAAGGCCTGGTTGAATTACATGAAAAGAATGTTTTGGACGCATAATAGACCTCATATTATTTACAGTGATTGTAACTTAAATTGCAGATGGGAGATGAAAAAAACACTGACTTGCATCTACTTGAAAATAATAATTTAATTACAAAGTATGTTTTTTAAACTCAACACCAGGTGGGTTGACAGCCATGTGTGAATTCACATAAAACACTTATTATTTATTGATTTAAGCTTATGTATAGTCTCCCACTACCGCCAATATTCAAAGGAAAACAAGTGTACAGAAGTGGGAGATCAAAAATGACTGACCAACAACATCCAAGAGTAGTAAATTTTTGATTGTGATAACAATTCAAGACAGGCAGTAACATGGTAGTGAATATGTAAATGCAGGGTAAACGAGATGATAGCTCAGTTTAGTGGAACAGTTAGTATCCAAAGCAGGATCCAAAACCCTTGAACATCGGCCAAACAAACGGATGGCATACGTACTACNAACGAGATGATAGCTCAGTTTAGTGGAACAGTTAGTATCCAAAGCAGGATCCAAAACCCTTGAACATCGGCCAAACAAACGGATGGCATACGTACTACAACAAGAAATTAACAAGAAAACGTCCATTAAGATATAAAGGGAACAAGCCGAGGCACAAAATTATCCACTTATCGTGATAAAACAAGGGTAAAAATCACACAATCATGGCGCGAACATATGACAAATCAAGGGAAAAGCCACATTTTCAAGTCCGTTTTTCTTAAAGTTCAACTATCACGCAAAAATAATCCACAATACTGATCATTGTTATCCAGCAAACGAAAGCGCGTGTGCTAAACAAACGCTTTCAGCATAGCATGGTTTCCATTGACTAGTTTTGATGCAAAAAATGCTTACCTACAATTGAGACTTGGCAAATAACTGGCCTAGATATTACACTGGCAGCTCTTAGAAAAAGTTCGTTTGATTCTCATGATGAGTGCAGAAATCGGTCCAGAAACAACATCCTTCTGTTAACTCGCAAGGAAATATATCCGCCATTACTGTCCGCGTGTAGTTCGCGCGTATATGACATATCCACGCGAGAGTCCTTGCTCCATATTAGGAGGTTAAATTTGATTGGTTCGGAATAATCGGCAGCATTGAACCAGGGCTTAGGTCATTCCACTGAAATAGAAGCTGCACTGAGATTTTTGTGAAACTTTGCCTATTGATTGTTTATATTATAGGAACTTAAATTTTGAAATAA